CAACTTTTAAAATGTATGAACCTGGCTTAGGAACTCTGAGAGTAAAAGTCCACTCACATTAAAGTTGCCAAGTTGGAAAAACATTGATTTATACTTAACAGCCCCAATTTGTCCATCTGTCCCAACTCCTCTTTATCCCTGGTTCTGAGACTCTCCCCTTGTAATATCTAGGCTCTTATTCTGATTATCTTAAATAGGAGTTAGGTTTGAAATGGAGAATATTCATAAGTAGAGGACTTTCTCCTGTATAATATCAATGGCCATCTTAGTAGGATAGAGAGAAATAATGCCCTTCAAAAATTGTTAACGGTTAGCAGGAAAATAATAGTAATTTTCCTCAGAAAAGAAAAATGTTTTGGGAAGAAAATTGATACTTTTACTTTCTTTATACCAAGAGGTTCTGCTAAAACCTTTAGCTTTGTTGTTCTAATCTTTGTGGTAGGCTTTTAGTGCAATTCCAATTTTTCAGATTATTAATGACACTGATTATTTGATTTAAGCTTGAAACCTTGTTTATTAAAATTTAACAGTGAACACATTTGCTTGGATTGTGCCCAAGAAGTGCAAAGCAAGCTGCATTAAATTGGACTAAGATTTTAAGCTGTTTCTCCCCCCCCCCCAGTTATTAACATATAAAAGTTATTTCTTTAATGTTTGAAGAATTAAAGAAAATTCCGCTTAAAGTCATATGAGTCTTAAAACTTTTTTTACCTGGTGCCTTTGAATCTGTCTTTGTTGTTGGTGACTACTGTACATAGGCAAGTCCCTATAGATATCTTGGTCAGATTTTTGGAAACAGACTAATGTTTGGTTTAGAGTCACCCAGCTGGCCTTGTCCCTATAGCAGAACTATAACTCACAGAGATAATAACTAAGAAACACTTTGTGGAATGTGTTTCTGCAGATTTCTTTCCAAAGCATATTCTTCTGCTGGATGTAGGAATCATACTTAATTGAGGAAACATCTACAGTAAAATAGATAAGAGTTAATTGCATTTCCTTTCCCACCTCCTTTATGAGGTAAACAACCAGATTGACAAGAGAACTGTGAACCAAATGTGTAGCATAGTGCCAAAGACTTGGTTTACTGTACATGTTGAGCCATCAGCCAGGTTTTTGGAATTGCAGGGGCTAGATCAGGGGTCAGCAACCTGCGGCTCTGGAGCCGCATATGGCTCTTTCATCCCTCTGCTGCGGCTCCTTGTCACCGGTTGGCTCCACAATTGATAGGGCTTTCGGTTAGGACAGGTAGAGGAAAAAGGACGTCATGCTAGGAGGAGACTCTATGGTGGGGGGAACCAGACTTCCGGTCAGCATAGGAAAAAGGATGCCGTGCTAGGAGGAGGCTCTATGGTGGGGGAACCGGACTTCCAGTCGGCAGAGGAAAAAGGACTCCGCGCTAGGAGGGGGAACTGGACTTCTGGTTGGCTCCAGAATTGAATGGGGAGCTTCCGGTTAGGACTTTTGTGACTCTTTGAGTGTTTAAGGTTGCCAACCCCTGGGCTAGATTCATACATTATGAGGAGCTATTGGTAGACTAGTTTTCTTTTGTCTTAGTGTAATGTGTGATTTCACCCTGAGAATCCAAACCTATAGGTTGCCTGCATTTCATTAGGATCTATTCTTCTACCATCCTTGACAGGGTAGAGGAATACAAGATGGAAAGGAAGGAAAACATTACAAGTTTAACGATGTACAGGTAGTCCTCAATTTACATTTGTTTAGTGGCCATTCAAAGTTACAACGGTACTGAAAAAAGTGACTTCTGACTGGTTCTCACACTTACGGCTGTTGCAACATCTCCAGAGTCATGAGATCAAAATGCAGGCGCTTGTTAGCTGGCATGTATTTTTGACGGTTGCCGTGTCCCCGGGGGTCACGTGATCACCATTTGCCACTTTCTGACAAGCAAAATCAAATGCAGGAAGCCAGCTTCACTCAACGACCACATGATTCACTTAACTGCACTTAACTGCAGTGATTCCCTTAACAGTTGTGGCAAAAAGGTCGTAAAATGGGGCACAACTTGCTTAACTGTGTTGCTTAGCAAAAGAAATGTTTGGGCCCAGTTGTGGTCGTAAGTTGAGGACAACTTGTTTTGGGAATAGCAGGGGGAAAAGGATGGGGGGGCACAAAAACAGAAAGCAAAGGGGAATGGGAAGCTTGGTTGGTTGGATGGAAATAGGGCCAACTGCCTTAGATGCTTGGTAGCCATCAGAAATTCACCTTGGTTTTTTCCAGAATATGCTGGTATTCACAACCTGGAGTATCCTAGTACCTTCACTTTCATGAATTGGGGTGGAAGATGGGAGTAAAAACAGCCCCCTTCTCCATCTCTTCCTTCCTTTTTTTCACCTTAGCTTCCCTTTTATCCTAGAACAGGGGTCTGCAACCTTAAACACTCAAAGAGCCATTTGGACCCATTTCCCACAGAAAAGAAAACACCGGGAGCCAAAAAACCCTTCCCGTACCTGATTATTTCTTGAGCGGCCACAAAACTAGCATATGTAATTGAATTAAATGTTCTGTTTTCTTCTGAAACTTTTCTTTTCTTGGATTTATCCATGGTTGGCCTACTGGAGGTTGAAAAGCTCAATAAATTGCGTGCTGGCGGGCTCGCACATTGGTGGTTGTGACACATATTTTGAGTGACAGGGAGCCACAGCAGAGGGTTTAAAGAGCTACATGCGGCTCCAGAGCCGCAGGTTGCTGACCCCTGTCCTAGAAGTTTGTCAGACTAGTGTGATTGGTTTCAAATAACACCATTATACCACAGCCTTGTGTCCACGTACCCCCTTCCACTTCTTTTCCATCTCTGGTTTAAAAAGAATAAAAGGAAACCACCTGTTTCTCATGTTTATCAAACACGGACATTTAATTGGCCTTCAGTTTCCTTCTCTTCTGTGTTTTTGTGACGGCTGAAACTGACAAGGCAGAAAACGAGACTCCTGAGACCACACCAGACTGTTATATAAACACAGTGTGGGGACCATCAACAGTCCAGCCTGCCAAAAGAGCTGCAGGCAGTTTGTTACAAGAAAGAGAAGTGGGGGTGGATGGGGGGAGAGAAAGAAACTGAGGATTTAGACCTCGGGCTCCCACACATGTGTATAAGTACGTTCTGTAGAAGCTGTTTGTAGTTGCTGTGGCTATTTAGTTTCTGCAATCAAAGTATTTTATCTACTAAAGCTGAGTCCTTGACTTTCCCATGAGAACGGTTGAGTGCAGTTTGAACTCTTAGAGAATTAGAATTATTGCATTGCCCACATGCAATCCTTGATCGTTGTAACTATATTCTCTATTATGTCTGCTTTGTTTTAAAAGAAACTTTTTTTCTTAGGTCTTTTGCACAAGCTGTCCTATGAGACCCAGGTAATTGGAAGCAGCCAAAGTTAAAACAATTTGTGGCCTGATAAACCATTGCCATGTCCTGCCTGCTCCAAATAATACTAATATGCTTAACTTTATCTGCAGCCGCTCCCCGTTTAGTTGCATCCTGCAGTCCAGCTGCCTTTGCTTGTCTTAATTTATGTGTTCTATAGACTTTCTCATGTGTAGCATACAAACCATGCTGCTCATTTTCTGAGAAGCATTAGTGACAATATTGTTATTGGCTCTGTATGCTCTCTGATAGCGCTGTATAAATTGTATACTAACGGGACTGTAATTTCTTAGGATAATTAT